CTGTACCTCCATTTGCCCTCTGCCCCCGCTCCCTTCATTCAGATCGGCGAGCTGCCGGCCCCGGCCAACGGCATCATCGAGGTCCAGTCGACTGCCACCCTGGAGGAGGCCTTCACCGTCCTCTCGCAGCATAACATCCTCTCGGTCCCGGTGTTCGACCCGGCCGCCGGGACGTACATCGGCTTCCTGGACACCCGTGACCTGATTGCCTTTGCGGTGTTCGCCACCGAGGAGGACCTGCAGGCCGCGCGTCTGGCCTCCGGCGGCTCGTGCCCGGGTGTCATGCCGGCCCAGCCCTCGACCTCCATTGATCGTCTGATTGCGGCCGCCGGCAAGTCGGGCTTCTCCAGCTCCACCGCCACCCAGGGCGGCCATCTGGCTCAGAGCTCGGTCTCCGTCGCTTGTGCGTCCTCTCCGGCCCCGGCGGCGAACCCTGTCTTCGACCTCCCGAGTGCGCACCTCGCGGGTGTCGTCCCTGGTGCTCTCCGCGACCTCTCCGGGGCGGGACGGGGCGGGACGGGGCGGGGCGAAGTGGTGGGGGTGGTGGTGGTGGTCTCACAATCGCACTTTACCAACTTGCCTTTCCTCCCTTGCCTTCCTCCCTCACTGCCCGGCATATGTGTTCGGCTTCAATGGTACTGACCTCCCCCGCATGGCTCCTGACACTCCCTTGCTTTTGTTGTTTCCCTTTTGCGCAGACCTCGCCCGGCGCAACCCCTTCCGCTCCCTGCCGGCGGATGCGCCTCTGCTGGAGGCTGCGTGCATCCTCGGGAATGCTTCCTCTCGGCGTCTGGCGCAGCTTGGCCCCGACGGTCGCGTCTGCAAGATGATCTCCCAGTCTCTGATCCTGAAGTTCATCGACAACAATCTGGTACATATGCTTGCCGGGCTTCTTCTTTCCTCCCCTCTTCCCCTGTGCTCCGCTGCGGCCCTCCTTGCTGGCATAACCCATGTTTTTGTCGGTGTCTGACAGCCGGCGTTGCCCATCTCTCGCTCCTCAGTCTAAGGTCCCCAAGTTTGCCAACCTCGTCGTGCGTGTTACCTCGCTGCCGTTTTCTTTTGTCACACCCTTCGGCTCCATCCACTGGGTGTTTCCCTTTCTGACCCCCC